GTGGTTACTTGCGCCCATCTTATTGAGTATGTATGAGTGATTTTACAAACATTTTTACTAAGTTGAAAATGAAAAAGTGTAATAATATATATATTTTGTGTATAATATAGATTTAACTTCCTGCGTTTGCGGAAAGTGTCTACGTTTTTTCGTTTGGAAACAGCAGATATTTTTCCATTTAATTTCTTTAAACATTATTTTTTCGTTACAATTATTAATAACAAAGATTGAACACTTCGACCCGGCCGGATTCGTACCAATGTCTTCGCTATGCCAACTAAGCCACGTAACGAATTAGCGGACGTTACGAATTTTTCTATGTGCTTATTGCAGATCTTTCTTTTTGGTATTTAATTTTTTTAAACGTATTCGATCCTTATTAATAATTGTAACACATTAGAGGAGCAATTTTACAAAAAATAATTGAATATCATGGTAGGAAAACATCGTGCCATAGAATAAAAATTTGAAAATTAATTTTTTTGGTTTTGAGTTTTAATCACAAGCCCTTTCGAAGAATGCAATTAGATAGTCACAAAAATTGTTAACGTTAAATCGGCTTCAGTCGGTCATGAAATTGCTTTACACACATACAATAAGAGCAGAAAAACCGTTGCGCATTTCGCTTCCTGCCCAGCGCCCACGCGACACGACATTTTCGCTCTTGTCACATAAAGCTTCTAGACAAGTGTGTATAATGAGATTCTAAAACAAATCTAGTGATCAGGTAACTAGGTATGTATATCACGTTTCGTTTCAAATGATACATTGACACGTTATCTGTTGTGTATTGCGTTGAATATTTTCTACTTACCTTACATCGCCTATGTATCAATTGCCTTAGTTATGTACACAGGGCTGCTAATATGGTTTTGTTCGTATTTGAATTACGTCAATCAACTCACATGAAGATGATGAAGAGGGATCTTAAGTTTGTTTTTCGAATTCTCTATATTAATAATTAAAGACAATGGGTGAGGAACTTCCAACGGAGTGTCAACTCCGGTCCTTTTGGTGGGAAATTCTCATCAAATAATTAAAAAACAACATTAAGCAAGTTATTTATTGTGGAGATAATTTAAATAAATGACTGTTTGTTACCAAATTGATGGCTTTCTAGAATATCGGCTTATTTTTAACCGACTTAAAAAGAGGAAGTTCTCAATTCGACTGTATGTTTATTTTTTTTTGTATGTATTTTACGTAATAAGTAGGTATTGTGAACTAATTTTGATGATTCTTTTTGAATTGGAAAGAGGGTACCTCAGTAGTGGTCCCATTTAAATTTGAAGAAAATATTTCACCTCTAAGGGTGGCAAACTAGGGGATGAATCCGGTTTCGTTCACTTTCCGGTAACTGATTTCAATAAAACTTTGCAAATATATGTAATTCCATGAACTTTTGACGTCGGTTTTTTTTAGTACTCTGAACTGAGATTATGGAGTCTTAATTATAAAGCCTAATTCACCAAGAAGAGAGAGGAGATTTCAAAACAACTGCAGAATATTTAAAATACAAAGTTGACGAATCGTATACAGGCCATGCTGTCGGTGCCTTTTTTAAAACTAAATTTAGCTCGTTTAGAGCGCGAAAAATGAAATATTTTGGTTTATTGCTTGAATCTTGAAAAACAGCGAAATAAATAAATTTAAAACTAAAGAACATTATAAAATTTATCATAATTCAATTGATATATTTTATCCATTATTTACATATAAATAGAAAACAAGTTTGTTCAAAAATTTTACGAAACGTTAATAGCACGATTAGTCCGTTAACTTACAAAGCCTGTAACAAACTGCATCGTATTTTCACGCGTGACTGAAACCATTTATATGCGCCTATGCCGCCAGTGCATGAACTAATAATGCAAACCTAACAAACAAGGCTACAATTAACACGCGATATATTTGAGGAAATGTCATCATTTGTATAGGTAGTCGAAGGATATTGCGCGTATATTGTGAATGTGTAATGTGGAGGGTTGTCGTGTGTGGTGTGAGAAATGATCGGCTAGCGGTTTAATTGTTTTATGGCGTGTTTCCACTGGGTCGACAGTCGCCATCGGCCGACTACACCGCTTCGCCAAAGGAGGCGCAGTCGACTTGCTGTTTATATTGAGTCGAGTTCCACCTCTTTAGCAAACGAATTTGGCTGACGAAGGCGGCGCCGCAATAATCTTATATACGTGTATAAGATCATTGCTTGCGCAGTCTTTGCGCTGTGTACACCGACATGCCTATCGCCTACGCCGATATCATTAAGTCCAAATCTAATCGTTATAAATTCAAGTTTACGAACGAAGACACAATCGTTCGTAAAGTTCAACAAACAGGTAGGTATTCCTCGGCCCCGAGCATATGCTTCATGGTTGGACGCAGCTTTTTAAATTGCAGTAGAGCTCATTGTGAAAGAGCTCGTTCAGGGTAGTACAGCCACGTTACCTGTTTCTGGCGCCAAGCACTAACATAAGCATTACCGTGTTTCGGTTTTGAAGGGTAAGGGTGCCGGTGAAATTACAGGTGGCAGTGCCCCTCAGATGTTTGCGATGTAAAGCCCTGAGTGGCACTGCAATTGGACAGGCGTGTAGCTTACTATCAGGTGCACGACTTGTTCGTTCCGTCACTAGATGTTATAAAAAAAGAAAAAAGCTGTCGAAACACTGAACTTGTTTGGTCGACAGTCGCTTGTAGACAGTGATTACTCGTCTTGATCGACGTCAGCAGCGAACTACGACTGTAGTTAGTAGTAGCGCCATCTGTGAGAAATCTATTTCTTCAGGAGTAATTTCACAAAAAATAATTGATATCATGTTAGTAAAATATCGAGACATAAAGCATCATCAATAAACTTAAAATTTACAAATTTATTTATACATGTTAATATCGAACATGAATTGATACTGAATGAACTTGAGCATGCTTAAAAAAATTTGAAAATAGGCGATAGAAAGGATTTGATGAGAATCCTATTGCATGTATATATAACAAATATGCTTTGCCAATATCCAGTTCATACTCTGGAATTATTGACTTAAAATTTATTTTATGAAAGCACTAGGAAATGATTGAACTGTAGGTTAATGTCGACGGCGTGCAGTCGGTTTCGTCTGCATAGAGCTGTATTATACGGACGCATGCAGTTCGTTTAATAGCAGTAGTAATATTTTTTCGTTTTTTTAAGCAATTTTCAGTTGATCGCTCTGTGTGACACACGATTTATATTAGCGTTTTTAGGGACAACAGCGCTTATAACTTAGACTAATCGATTGCTAACTCTTACCACTTAGCCTTCTCGCCCAGTCAAATGACGAGATGTCCGTTAGAATATAAACAGAGCAATGTTGCTCGCGCATCCTGTGCATGTTCAGTCTCCAAACAATTTGGTACTTGGGTTTTTGCAGGGTGCTGTCCTGTGACCTAATTTTTTATTAAGGTATGTTTTATTTTTTTCACGTAATTTATCTAGTTACTAGTAAGTAGTAGTTAAAAGTATTAGAATAACTTAAATGATGTATAACTCTACCATCCCTATCATAACTTACGTAATAGAAATTTTGAAAAATCTGGAATCAGCAAAACGAGATATATAATCACCTAAAAGCGATTTTTTTTATGTCTATTTAGTTTCTGTTTTATTTTTCTTTCTTTCTGTTTTGTGTCTGAAATTAGCGTAAGTAATTGATGTTTTTTAAAGAAAAAAGTTACCAAAATGCAAATGCGCTCGTTAGTTATGACAATGAGAGCAGAAATAAGTTAGATCCTATCAAATGAGACTTTGCAAGGAGCTGATCCGTGTCCTAGTTCTTTTTTAATAAAGGCGTGTTGTAATTTTTTACGGCCTTTATCTAGTTGCTTACTTATTTTAGTATTAAAACGTAATGAAACACGGACATATTTAGAATTAACTCTTTCGTAGAAGACTTTGCAAGGAGCTGTACTGTGACCTAGTTTGTTTTATAGAGGTTCATCTTAATTTATTGAATTTGAGCCCATAAAGATTATTTATTATTAAGAAAGATGCTTAACTTTTAATTTTCGTGTCGTTGTGGATTCCGCAGGAAAATGTTTTGGGATATATTAAAAAAAAATACCATCAATCTAACTTGCAACTTAAGTAATTTTTTATTTGAATTTGGAAAAATATTGTTGTTGGTCTCTTGGAAGATTTCAGAGGAGCTTTTTATTTTCAGACATGAATTTAAATGAGTGGTTAAATTGACTTTAAAAAAATGTAATTAATCGTTCGTTTTATTACGAATAAACGGTACTAACAATTTCGACAGTAAGTTATTTATATAGTTAAAGTCAGAATTCTATGTTCTATTTTGCGATGTAAATAATTGTTTTCCTCAGAATTGTTACTCAACTTCTTTTGTGTTGTAAGGGACAATATATGATATAAAATTTATTCTCTTTTCTCATAATAAGTATCTTTTTTTATAATATAAATTGACGGTACGAACAAGTCGTGCGCCTGATGAGAAGCTACACGCCTGTCCATAACAGTTACAGTGCCACTCAGACCTCTAAATCGCAAAGATCTGAGGGGCACTGCCACTACGTTCGTCACCCTCAGACATGAGTTGACAAGTCCCATGTGCCTGAAATTTCACCAGCACCCTTGCCCTTCAAAACCGGAACACAGACGAACTCTGTCACAAGAAGCTCTACTGCTACTAAATTACCTTATATTATGTGTGACCGTTATTACTAAAATGAAAATAAATGTAAAAGCACAGTATAAATAAGACGAGTATGGTAACTCCAGTCAAGCCCGCCCCACGCCGTGCACGAACGCACACATTCGCATAAACTCGCGGTGATCTCGGGTTGCATAGCATGGGTCCACCACCCTTTCATTATGGTTCGCTTGGTGTTTCAAAAATGAAATTAAATAGTAGATGTGTCTATTGTTGTTTTGTGGTAGTTTGAACAAGTGTATCTCAAATTTACAATTGTTCAGCATTTCATTTCTATTTCATAATCAAAATATCAATCCGCGATCCTCGTTTAAAAATATTAAGACAGATTATTACAATATAGCACGAGAATTTGATGAACACTTTAATTTTTTCAAATTATATTTATAAACTGTAGGTACAACTAAAATAATAATGTAATAAAATAAAATAAACACATTCGAGCGAAGTATACGTAGGCATTCATTTATACATTCACCAATGACGAAGTTTTGCTACTAGTTGGACAGAAGCGTAAACTTTTGCAGACCATCAAACAGAGAAATGTTGCATATCTAGGTCATGTACTTAGGCATGAAAGATATGAGCTTCTGATAATGATAGGAAAAGTCTATTTATTTATTTAATTAATTATTTATTGTACAGGAAAACACAAATCACATTTAGTAAAACGTAAACATAAACAAAAGGTACTGCTTATTTCTATAAGAAATGTCTTCCTGCAGACCAAAATACAGGACACAATAATTAAAATAACGGGTTTACGTGCACTACAAAGCAAAATTAAATTCGCTAAAAAAGCAAAAGTCGCTGGAAAAAGGAAAGCTGGTCGTAGGAAAAAATCGTGTCTGAGGAACATACGAGAGTGGAATGGGATAGCGAGTGCCGCCCAACTGTTCAGCCTCGCCAGAAATAAAAATAAATATGCTGAGCTGACTGCTAACCTTCACTAGTTGGAGAGAAGAAGATGGGCATTTACGCACTGCACAGGCGGGAGTTGCCCTACTTTTTCTTATTATACTATAGTAAAAGTGTAATCTAACATCTAACCAGCATTTAAAACTATGAGAGCCTTTTGATCACCTTTCCATTAGTCCATTGGGTTCAAATTTTACAATGATTCCTGAGCATTCCGTTGTGGTCAATTTCCGCCTTTATGAATAATCTTCGCAGGGCTTCACTTAATGAACATACAAATTTTTTCCAGGACATTATTATCATCACACGAGACGTATATACGTAATCATGATTGGTCTAATCTTATTTTGGACTATAGTAATCCTCTACACGATTTGGCTATATCGACAACATGCTGCTAAGTCTGAAAACGAACCTCCTGCTTTACCTGGGGCTTTGCCTTTGATCGGGAATGCTCATCACATGATTGGTGATAGCCTTTGTAAGTATTTGGTTAAAAATGTCGTAGGAATTACAAGGGGTCTACATTAAAGGCTCTTGAGTTTGGCGATCGACTACCTACATACAGGTACATTAAAATCAATAGCTATGATCTATGGATTCCGGTAATTCTTGTAGATAACGAATTCTCTTCGTTAAGGCTCAATTTACATTACCGCGGAACGGAATCAAAGCGAATTTCAAACAAATTAGATACTGGACTTACTGGATTCTAAGGACTGCCACGAAAATTGTCTGGAAGACGAGGGATGTTTTTGGCTCGTATTTAGTTTTTTTTATGATACCAAGTGACAGGAAGAGCAAGTCGCGTCCGATGACAAGCGACACACTTGTCCGTAGCATCTACAGTACCACTCAGAACTTTAAATCGCAAAGATCTGAGACCTGACACTTCAAAACCGAAACAAAGTAATCCTCACATTACTGACTGGCGGCAGGAATAAGTAAGGTGGCAGTATTTCCCTTGACGAACTCTTTCACAACGGGTTTTATTGCTACTTAAAGTTTATACGTTACACAATTGACATACAGTTTATTACACTAAGGTTACAAAACTTCGCTTCCATTCTATTACACGGCAATGTAAATTAAGATGTAGGTTGGATATTCGGTTCCCTTTAAAAAGTCATAGAATTAAACATTTTATTGTAAGTTTTGAAATAACTCCGTTAACTGGCGCCAACTTCATAGAAAGTTGTTTATGGCTCCAAATACTGAATACTATTTTGAAGTCTACACGTCTTAAAAACTTTAAATAGAGTATATTTGGTTGACGCTTTTGTATGATACCAAGTCAACACTATAAGACAAACCAGTCATGCGCCTGGTAAGCGACACACTTGTCCATAACAGTTGCAGTGTTACACGGAGCTTTAATTACAAAGATCTGAGGGGCACTGCCACTGCGTCCGTTTCACCCTGAGACACAATTTGACAAATCCCATGTGTCTGTAACTTCCTAGGATCCTTACCTTTCAAAATTGAAACGCAGTGATGTTTATGTGAGGTACTGCTTGACGGTAGAAATAGGTATGGTGACTGTACTGCCCTGGGCGAACTCCTTCATAAGGCGCTCTACCGCTACTTAGCTGATTTCCAGATAATGAAATCAGTGTTGTATGTTTGTGTATTTAAGAGAGAAATAGAAACATAATTTGGTAAGTGCTGTTAGACGTTAGACCTATTATGTGTGAGTATTTACGATTACAATACATTGCAATCGTCGTTGTTTAGACGTAATTTTACGCACCCATACCGAACAAAATTACAGTGCGTAATTATTGCAAAATTATCCTCAATATTATTTCACTGAATGTGGTGTTGGCATTACGCCTTATTTATTGGTAATTTTACATTAAACAAGAATGCTGTATTTACGTATATTTATTTACTTACTTAGTAATCAACGATTTCTTTGTTTTGTAAGGTCTTGCACTTTGGACTGTTCCGTTGTTTTCCTTTTTAAAGATTGTATGACTCAGCTGACGCAATGTGCGTTGGGCTGCAACGATCAAAATGTACTGATATATTAGGTATTGTAAGCATTGTTTGCATTGTAAAGCGTTTTTTGTAAGTGCAAGTTGAGAGTAATTAAATAAAAGGATTAATTTTCCACAGCTCAATTTACATCGCCGCAGAACGGAAGTTTAAAGAACTTGGAATCGATATTACGAACGAATTCCATTTCCTCATTTAAAATGAAATTAATTGGAAGATGCTATTATTTATTAAAATATTTTTATTTCAAAAATATATTTACGTGAAATAGGCGCTATGATGTTTTTTTTATTATACCAAATGACAAGACGAGACGGCTTTGATGTTTGAATATAGCTTTCATATTTTCATTACGAAATTTGAATAGCGTAGCAGTATTCTCACCGGGTCCCCGATTTTTGTTACCTAAAGTATAGGTACGATCCCATATGGAGTATTGTTTGCATCTCTGGACCGGAGCTCCAAATAATACCATCTTGATCCGGACGTCCGTGTTGTCAACGATCCCAAACTCACTTACGGCTAGAAAACATTACAGATGAGCTGCAGAAACGAGGCAGCCCTATCAACATCCTGAAGCCATTATTGTATTGAAAACGTTTCATTATAGATTTAGTTTAATTATTGGATGTATAATGTTTCGTTTTGTGCTTTATAACATATATATTTTTTCTTAAATTGAAATCAGCGGGTTATAGGAATCGGTGAAGCTGTCTTCGTTCTTGTGCAGTCGCAAAATGCTGATACAAATGTAACTCTTTTTAGGGTAATGGTATGACCAGTGCAAGGTTCATGTTGTGTGTTTAATTTTAGATCTCTGGAATTTAGTGAAGGAAATGACTCAGGACAGTTTCAAAGTTGGTGGAGTGGTGTCAGCATCAGTGGGACCACGAACCGTTTATAGTAAGTTTCTTAATTTCGATTTTTTTGTATGAGTAGTTACGAATGGGCATTTTCCATTGTGGTTTGCAGGGTCTTAGGAGGTTACAATATATATTGCAAAAACAATTACCCGAGAATATTTATGTATTCCTTGTATTAAAATAACATTCATCACTTTTTGCCTAATGCTAACGCGGCTGCGCGGCTTGGACGAATATGATATGGTATTGTATTAAGTTTCCTTCCGCTTTTTGGAAAGGTTAGTGTTTTTTTAATAATACCAAGCGGCAGTACGACCAATTTTGCATATGGTGCATAGATCTGAGGGGTACTTGCACTGCGCCCGTCACCCTGAAACATAAAGAAAAAGTAGTTTATTTTCTACCATTACAAACTTCAAAATTCTTGTTACATATATTAATATGTACTAGTTGTAAGTATTAGCTTATAAGTTGACAAGTCCCATGTGCAGTAGTGGTATAGTAATTTATAACAACTTGCTTTCAGTTATAACGGATCCTGATGACGCTACAACAGTAGCCAATACGTGCTTGGAAAAAGACGGGTTTTATGAATTTGCCAAGCCCTGGCTGGGAGAAGGTTTAGTTACTGGCAAATGTAAGTTTTCTTCGCGTTTTTTATAAAATTTACTATTATTCTGCTTTTATAACATTGGTTCGCGTATAGTATGTTTTTTTTCATTCTCTATCAGCTGTCATCTCGTTTTTCGCTGCCTTTATACACATTTTATTTTATAATACTAAGTGATGGGATCGACAAGTTGTGCGCCTCGTAATAAGCGATTTGCCTATCCATAACAGTTGCAGTGCCATTCAGAGCTTTAAATAGCAAGGAACTTAGGGGCACAACACTACGCCCGTCACCCCGAGACATAAGTTAACAAGACCCAAGTGCCTGTAATTTTTCCAGCACCCTTACCCTTCCAAACCGGAACGCAGTAATGCTCACATTACTGCTTGGCGGCAGAAAAATGTAAGGCGGCATTACTTCTTCTAGACGAATTCTTTCACAAGAAGTTCTGCTGCTACTAAAACATATCAATGTACATACAGAGAAATATACATATTATATATTATTATATGAATACAAATATTAGACAACCTCTGATCCCAAAGTAATTACTAAAGCATTTGTGTCATGGAAATCGGAAACAACGACGTTACTACAAACACCCAGACCCGAGACATAAAAATATTAGTTAGTCTACATTGACCCGGTCGAGGTCCGGGACCTTAGAGATGGCGGAAACCATGAAAACCGATGTGCAAGCCACTCGACCATGGAAGTCATTTTCATATAATCTTGGTGTATAATTTCAAAAGTACTAAAAATAATAATACGTAGTATGTGACACTTTTTGTTATTAAATATGCTTCGTATAAGTGACCTAAGCTGATATTATCGTAATTTCTTGCTTAAATGTATGCCAAGTTCGTTTCGTAAATACGAAAAACTTTCTTAGATCGCCATTTTTAGGTACATAGTCGAAGTCAAAGTTGGTTTTATAAATCTCAGTCTTAGAAGCACTTAAGGATCGTTTACACGTGGTCAATCGACGAACCATTCCATTAAGCCAAGCCATTACTGGCGTCGTGTAAATAGACACAATGCCTTATGGAATGACTCCAGACCTGTGATAAAGACAATCCACTAAATTAGAACGATTTCAAATTTTTCGGGCCAATACCTTCGCCTACCATACGTGCGTTGAATTGGCTCACGTTGCGGCCTTGTGTGAACGTGCATCCTGAGCCACTCTACAGTGGCGAAGCGTGAAAATTATCGTTAGTAAAGCGGGAGCAAAGTGAAAAACACCTACTTTACAAAACTACTTTTTCCGTTAAAAGGCGAATTGGCGTCCGGCTTGACTGGAGCTGTGATTGGCGTCTAGTATATATACTCGATGACTCCGTATTATCAAGGACAAGTTACTACACGATTATTATTGAATATAAGTTTTTTTAGTGGTGGGCTGCATACCCCTGTCTAGTACAGTTTTTTGGTATTATGTGGAACATTTTAGGCAAACCGGTGGGACTCGAGTTATATCGACGCCTCGCCACTGCCACTTCACTAGTTTGCCTTGCCGTTTAGTAAAGAATCGTAAAGAAGCTTATTGTAATGTAGCTGTAGTGTAGGTGCACGTTGCGAATTTTGCACTTTTCATTAGACTGGCGTAATGCCTTGGCCTTGTGGAATGGCTCGTCAAATGGCCCCGTGTAAATAGGCCATTACTATTCCAACTTGCTGAAAATCTTTGCATCGAAACCATTGAAAAAAGCAAAACAGGGCATAGAAAATGAATGGGTTTGTGACGTGAAAAAAGGAAAATAATTAAAAAAAAAATTTATATAAGGAAATGAGATTTCACCAAAAACATTAAAAAACCCCGCCTTACGCATATTATTTAAAGGTAGGTACTTAAGATTTATTTTACTGAAAATTAAAAAAAATAGACCTCAACGTCTATTTTACTTTCGCAAGTACAATGCAAATTTCGAATAACTTAGATTGATCTCTCGGTTTTGGCAAAACAAGCTTACCTTCTACAATTAAAATTTTACTAAAAAGTACCTCCAGGTCGACGGTTTAAGGTTGTCAAGGTATTTGGCACAAGTTTTGTCAAAATGGTAATGAGATCACTTTCTAAATTTCTAACTGATAAGAGATTTTCTTACTTCCAGTGTCAATATGGAAGAATCATCGTAAGTTGCTAAATCCAGCCTTCAGTCAACTAGTCTTGGATAGTTTCATTGGAGTATTCAATAAGCAAGCCAGGCGGTTGGTGAAGGATCTCGAAGTAGAAGTTGGCAAGGGTCCGTTTGACCACTGGACTTATACTAGGCATAACGCTTTGGAGACCATTTGTTGTAAGTGTTTACAATTTACTGAAATTGCAAACATGCAATTTTTGTAAACATTCTTGTTTACACTAATTGTATTTTATTGTTTTTTAGCATTAAATAGCTTTCTAAATTGGTTTCTAATAGTGTAAACATTAGTCATATTAATTACAGAAATTAAATGAGTAAAGTATGTTATGTTTTAAGGTTTAAATGAATGCAAATTAATTTGTGTTGATCCGGTACTTAGTTTTATTTTTTATGCAGTGACTGCTCTGGGAGTGGACTTCACCGATCATACTCTCTTGAACAGTAAATATGTTAATGCGACAGAAGAGATGTTCAACGTCTTGGTAGAAAGGTTCCAGAACCTTCTCATGCATAACCACTGGCTTTACAGTTGGACTAGGCTTAAGAGAAAACAAGATAAACTTCTAAAGATCTTACATAGCATGGCCGATGTGGTAAGTAGCCTCGTTTTCAGCATATATGATCACCATACATCGTACTGTTCTACACAGCTACTTCATCATTTCCAGGTCCTTCAAACAAGAAAGTCAGAAATGAAAGGAAATATTATATCTGAAAAAATAACAGACAAAAAACTAGGTAGGCTTGTTTTACTTTAAGTTATGTGTATTTTCTATATGTGACTGTCAATTATTTATTTAATTCCTAAATACTTAAGGATTATTATCGATCGTTAATTCTGTAACGAACAACATTTTACAGGAAGTAAGTTCAAGCCTTTCCTAGACCTATTGTTAGAGTTGACATCAGAGAAGCATGTCTTCAACGATCGCGAGATCAGGGAGCATATAGACACTATGATTGTAGGAGGTCATGATACTTCTGCAGCTGTGATTATGTACACAATGTTGATGATTGGATCACATCCTGAGGTGCAAGATAATATTTACAGAGAGTACGTTTTTTTTTCTACATGAACTTATGTATGCTAGGTGTAACGTAACTGATGATAGCCATTTGTCTTACCTCATCTTTGAATAGTTTTGTGTTTTTGAAAGAAAAAGTATGTATCTCCATCTCACCCGATGGCAAGTGACGATGAGGTTTACGATGGAGCATGCACATGTCCAAGTTATAGCGTTCAGGGAGTGGGTCTGCAGGTAGGGAATTCCACTTCAATGTGGAAGAGTAACGCATCGTGCGAATTTTTGGAATATTCACTACATAGGGATGGAACCCCAGGTTACTCTAGTCCCCAGATGATGGAAACGGGAAGGAGGTATTAAATCATGCAATTCCATCGGACACTTCCCGTGATATATTCTGTGCAAGACCGTTAAGCAGGCAACTTTACGACCATGTTCAAGGCTCTGCAGCTTTGCCTCTAATAAATCCAACTAGTATCTCGTAAATTACGTATAAAGCCTAATAAAATTAAATTGTTTTTAGATTAGAAGACGTATTTGGTGATTCTGATAGGGATGTAGATAAGCATGATTTGTGCAAATTGATGTACTTGGAAGCCGTGATCAAGGAGAGTATGAGAGTTATACCAATCGTACCCGTTATAGCGAGACAACTCGACAGGAATGTAAAACTTAGTAAGTTCTTAAATTTTTTTGAAGTAGACACTGCTTTTGTTTGCAAATATTGCAATATAAGTAGTTCTATTAGTCCCTGCTTATCTCTAATTTCTCACGATGTTTCAGAAAATTACACTTTATGCGGAGGTAGAACATGTTTTATATTCCTATACGGTTTAAATCACCATCCAGTATGGGGTAAAGATGTTGAAGAGTTCAAGCCTCAGCGATGGTTAGACCCGACTACTTTACCTGAACATCCAAATGCGTTTGCCGGCTTCAGTATGGGCAAACGCCATTGTATCGGTAACTATATTAGCACTTAAATAATTGCAGATTAAGTTTAAAAATGAAGTACATTATCATTTATATCAAAACCGTTTAAACCCTATACAAACATATTATAAAGATATTAAAAAGCACACAGAGACACCCATAAGATCTACTTACTCGGTCTGTAGCTCAGTTGGTAAGAGCGGTGGCCCCAATGTGGCAACAGACGCTGGTTCAAGTCCAGTCAGATACAAGGATTTTTTCTCTTTGTTGTTCGATCTTTGTATCAATATTAACAACAAACTGTGAAGTATTTTCTCAAAAAATTATATAGTACAAAAACACCATGATGTTCATTAAAATAAACATCATTTATAGCAGCCAAGAACCATATTTTCTGTAAAATTGTTCTTAATGTTTTCCAGGTAAGGCATATGCTCTGATGTCGATGAAGGCGACCATGGCGCACGTGATGCGGCAGTACAAGTTAAAATCTGATTGGACAAAATTACAAGTCAAAATAGATGTCATGTTGAAGCCAGTTGGTACAGGACATTACATTACAATAGAAAGAAGATAATATTGTAATATTTATGGAATCGTTCCTAAGATATAATAGTCGGGTCAGAGTTTAAGAAGGTACTAAACTTTGTTAGTGACAAAAATACGCAAGAAACTACAAACGGAATGCTATCAAAGCTTGGAGTCTATCATCAAGGCCGTCAATTGTCAAGTAAAGATTGTTTGCTTTTAAATGGAAAGTAAAATAAAATATCAATTTCTTTGGAATTGTAATATTTATTTGTAAACTATTTTTAGTTAAAGAGAAACAATTAATTGTTATAGGTTACCTCGTAAAATCCGAACTTCAACGAAATAATAAAAGGTATATGAAGATTTATGAAGTTTTTGAGTTCACAGAAAATTTTTAGCAATACTTATGTAATAATAATTAAGTATGTTTTTATCCTATTTCACAACATCATGAACTATGTGATGCCACTTTAACACTATTTGGTAACATAATTTATAAATTAATTTTGTTTAATGTTGAAATAATGCTTACAACTTTAATCAAAATTACAAATCCGACTAGTTTCAATGAAACTCATGCCTATATGTTATTATTTGTATGAATAAATAGAATTTTGAGCGGGGAATTTTGAGAACATGGATCTAAATACTAGTCATTGACTGCAGGCGGGAAAATCCATTCCATAGCCGTTCGCCATATAAATGTGAAAGCGAAACGCTTCGTGCGAATCCTTAGAATATCTACAACATAGGGGTGGAACTCCAGCCCACATCTAGTTCCCTGATGATGGAAAGAGGAAGGGGGAATTAAATCGTGCAATTCTCTCGCACACTCTCCGTGGTATATCCTGTAGAATACTAATTAGCAGGCAACTTTACGGCGGTGTTCAAATGTCTGTAGCTTCACTTCTACTAATTCCGAGTAAGGCTCTTGGTATTTACAGAACAGAATCCAAGATGGCCAGTTGGTGTTTAGCACCATCCCATAGATGGCAGCAATACCCCATACACGACTGGACTTTTGTTTGGTACAGCTAAAGCATCTAGGAGAAGTAACGCCTCACTCTGGAATGAATGCCAAGCTTCCTTGCTGCATTTTTGGGTATGGATTTTATGTATCTGCCGAAGTCCAAATTGGACGACAGGTTCAGTTAGTCCTATTTGATGTATACTGGTCATTGTTTTGTCGAGTATTTTACACTTAGAACATTATTATTATAAATATCATGGGTGAAATGTAAAAAGCGGTCAAAGCAGTTTGGCGTTATATTATTTTTATCCCACTTCTATGGCAATATTTAATTAAAGTCGAGTGTTAAAGTGGCACAGAACTATGAACAACAATAAAATTGCACATTTATTTGACACCGATTTCACAGACATCAAGGCTTTTATTCAGTTTATTATAAGTTAAAACTACAAATTTCAGAGAGACATATCCACAAACTCGCTATATTCATTTTCATTGTATTTTAATATTTTTTATAGATAGTATAGTTGTGTCACAGTTAATATATTGTAAATTATATAATCTCATTTCGTACAACACAAAAAGATTGAGGATTTTACACCTTGACGATTCTACTATAAAAATAGTGCACCTTAACTTAAAATAGTATCCACAGTTTTAAAAGGCTGCTTCTTTATGAATAAATTGCAAAACAATTGAATTTTTTTATGATAAGTACGTAAGTAAACAGACATACGGTCTACGTGATGAAAAAAGTGTAAGTCCGTAGAGCGGTAGGCGCTGTTGGAAAATATAGCATTCGTAGCATTTAAATTGACGACCTCGGAGGCCCAACGATTTATACTACGAGTGGGTGAGGTCGTTGCGCTGGTAATCATTAGTACAGGGGATTCCTTTGAGACCAGGCAATGTGGTGGTCTGGCACATTATATACTTTATAAAGTATAAAAAAAGCAATACCTTCTAGCAGTAGGTATAGGTAGCTACTTAAACGCTGTCTTTCTCGCTCTCTCGACTGAACCAATGTCTGTATCGTTGCTGTGCGTTATTAATATTTCCGTTACTCTTTCTAATTCGTTTCATTTAAGTCCTAAATCCATTAAGTAGTACCCAGTCAGGTTTTACCAAGAACCAAACAGCATAATAGTATATTATAACAAAACAAGTATGTTAATTTCATACAAGTGTTGCAGCGTGTGTTGTATGTGTGCGCGCGCACCGCGTGCCGTGTACGGACGCACACTTTTGCATAATCCCGCGATGCATTCGCGTTGCATAGCGTCTCTCATTATTATGTGAATGTATGTCCGTACATAGCGCGTGGAAAGCGCGCACAAATACAAGACGCGCTACTACATTTGTATGGAATCACCATAGTTGTACTATTATACTATTATAATAGCGAGTTATATGAAAAATAATTGAAATATTTCATTGTGATTACAATCAGCCATTGAAAAAGTAATTTCATTAAAGTAATTTATTACTACGACAAAGTTTTTTTGCAAAAATATTGCACAATAATACATAATAGCTTCATAAGCAGAATGGACGCAATCATCACCGTGAAGTAGAAATTTTATTATATTTGCGTAATGGTCATAACATCAACTTCCTTAAAAGTACAAAATAAACAATAACTTTGTTAATTAGCATAATTTTGTATACGTATGAATTAAAACTATAATGCAAGTCATTAAATCTAAATCAAAATTTAATATAATATTGTAAAAGAAAAAACTATTCGACTAGCATCATAATACTTTAGCTTGACAAATAAATACGTAGAGTTTATCAAATAAATAAAATTTCGTTCAAACAATCGTTAGAATTTTTAACTTATGAAATGTCTTAAATTTATAAGATACGGACATTCGTAAACCTTATCATACAGGCCAAAAGACGAATATTCTATTTTAAAAGTAAATACGATATCGATAAAGTTTTAGCTAGCTGTAAAATTACAATTTGTGTAAACAATGTGTGTTGTACTTTTTTTTGTATAATTCATAAATTACACTTTTGTTTAAATTGAAAGATGAAGTATTAATTTCAAAAGTAGCCAGTCTAATACATAGTCGATAGTTTTAAAATAGAAACTCGCGAAGTAATACTAGATCACAGTCTATGTAAATAATACATTTAATAGATAAACATTTACAGTTGTTTTACAGGAAACACGTTGTGTCAAAATGACGCAGAGATTAAAATACTTCTACAGTACATTTATTTTCTCTAAAACATCACTCGATTGAACAAAATATTGAAAATACGTATAATTTTGTGGCAAAGCAATATTTCAATTTTGCTTAATTACATTTTGTTAATTTTAATCTTATTATTAGCTTATAAATAAAATATTTACTTAAATTTGGTAAGTGTAAAATTATCTTTAAAATAAAGCCACTAACAAAAATAGAAGCTTTGGAAATTTGGAATGTATCGGATCACGTTTAAAAACGTTAAGAAAATATTTTGTTAAAACGAGTGAAAAACTAACTACTACCTACTTATAAATAAATTAAATACGAAGTATCTAATAGTAGAAATGTACACGTAACATCTAATTTAGAACGACATTTTAGTTCACAAAGGTGGAATAAGATCCATTTGGATCGAAAAAAATATGATCCAAATGAACCGCAAATTGTTTGGATCATGACTGAATTTGACCCATTGAACTTTACGAGTCGACTGACTTGGACGGCTTCACTTTGTCCAATTTATTCTTTTCTTTATCTGTACTGCTCTGGCTGTGCCTAGAAATACGATAAACTTATAAGACAGGAACAATACAAAGCGGAGCCATTTTCTTTTAATGAAAGTCGAAATGTAGTTTACATGTACTACAATTGTGAGGTGAAATTTACTCATATTGTCAACTAAATGTTGGATTATTATAATGTACACTGTTTTTTTCACCACGGATGAAATGAAACATCAACCGAGCGTTGCGTCCGAAATGTCGAGGTAAATAAAATATTATTTATGCTTATATCTTTACACGCGAAAAAGTCCAATTTTAAAAAATCTAATATTATAGTGTGTCTTTGTAGGTAGCAATTGCTTAAAAAGCATAATTTTTTTTTAAATCATTTAATCATAAAGCGACATCATGTTAGTTTAAAAAATAACTTACCAGTTGTTACTTAACCGTCACAACATATGGCAGAGTCTGCCTTTGTGTTTAACCTTGCTGGCCTGGCTGGGCTCCGGAGTCGGAGCGGCCGTCCGCTGACTCCCGTTGTCCACGCTCGGAGGTGGAGGCTTCGGCACCACTTCTCTCCTCTCTCTGTCTTCGCGCTGCGTGTTTGGTTGGTAGAGAGATCTGGAATAGACTTTTGTTTTAATTAAATTTTTTGACTGAATTTATATTAATTCGTTGATAATGAACATAAAAATATATATGCGAAAAAAGCATAAAAATAGGAAAAACCTAAGTAAAGGAAAATCGTACTTTTAAGTGGGCATTTAAACATTTTGGGCAAAAGGTACGAAATAGACTGCAAAAGCACGTTTGTGTTTGAGGTGTTATAATCGATCAATTGGTTTGGATATAAATAATGAAATGCCAATACTAGGTAGATAAAAACTTGCTGACTTGAATCATATATTTGTCGACTGGTTATTACAATGCAGTCAAATAATACAGTTGTAATAAAAACATGATATTCACCTGGTAAGTTTGCTTCTATCAGGGCGAGATGTTGTCTTGTTGTTGCCGCGGCCGCGTCGTAGTGAGTGGAAGCGGGTCTTGATCGGGTTCACTAGTGCCATGCTGTTATTATCACTTGCCTTCGCGCAATTGAGCGTTTGCACTGTTAGTTCTACGTCTTTGATGGGCTCGTTCGATGCTAGAATTCAAGATTTGATTAAAGAACTGATGATATAAAATGAGAAAATATTTTTTTTTTTACATAAGTGTTTGTGATGGAGAAATAGAAACAAGATGGTTAGACTGGAATATTTATTTTCTTTGTCAACCGCTGGTAGTTGTAAAGGCTGAGTAAAGAAAAAATGTTCATAGATTTCTCATAGGTGGTGCTATGGCAAAAAAAAAACACGTTTATACTCAAAACAAAGGTCGGCAACAAGCACATAGAGAAATTCGTTAGGTCTATTGATTCGTTCCGTAGCTCAGTTGGGAGAGCTGGAGCGTTGGGAGCCTCGATCTGGTTGATCTCTGTTTCGAATTCAGCCGCATCGAAGGAATTTTTCTCTGTATTTGGTCGATTTTTGTGTCAGTAATAAGATGATTAGATTTTATGTAGTTATTATATGTACAACTGATTTTATAACTTGATTCTAGTCATATGATTTAGACATTGGTCAGGGTTTAAAAAAGCCACAAAAAATTTGCTAATTTATTCCAAAACAAACTTCACTTATCTCAATTTTGCTATTTATTTTTTTAGAGTTTTATAAATATTATTTTCTTTCATTAAAAACGAGTATTATAAACTAAAATAGATTATAATTGTGCAGACTTAATAATTATGTGTATGCTGTAAATTTAAATATATAAAATTGTTAATCCTAATCCTCCTAAACCATAAGGTTAATAAATAAATAAAAATGAATAAGTTTCCCTTTGTTGCTATTGCATGCTGTGATATTCCTTCAGTGTAAAGGCACTTCGTTCTAACTGCCTCCGTGGCCGAACGGTTACCATGCCGGACTGCCACGCAGAGGCCCCAGGTTCGATTCCCGGGCCGGGAGAAATATTTGTATGGCCTACATTTATTTCTCTCGTGAGTTTGGGTGTAATTTGTGGTTGTCTATGTGTGTGTCCATGGCACCCGCGACACAGGGTTTCCCTAGTGCGGGGCTATGTTGAGTGTGTGCGTTATTATTATTATAGTGTGTGCGTTATTACTTCGTTTTATAAGCTTAAAACTTTCATTATTTAACATGTAGTGTTTTATGTAGAATATTCTAAATATATAAAATAAACACTCACCAGTAAACTCCTCTATCGGTTTATCAATAGTATCATGATCAATCCACGTGAGCCCCATTTCCACTTTCTCAGCGAGGTCCTTCCATCGCTGCCTGTTTTCCCAAGTGCCGGTATACAGAGGTTGAATCCATGGGAATGTATCCGATAGTACTTTGTATAACGGTAGGCAGATAGTGTCAATGAAGCCTACTTGCATGTGAGGAAGCTCGTCTTTTTTCTCTCTGTTAATAAAGAAATATGTATATTAAATTTAACATATATAAACTACTTCCATCTATCCATTTTATTCTAAACCTCCTTTAAGAATTTATTACTATTACTCTGCTAAAAATAATATTAATGAATAGTTGGTAAGTCGATTTGTCAGTATTTATATCTTTAATAAGCATGCATTTAATTAATTTGTTTATTACCTATCCATCATAGCAATGGGTTGTTGATTAAGCTGCAATTTCTCCAAGTCTCCTTGGTCGAAGAATTCATCCGCTACAAGCTTAGCTACTTTATGTTGTACCTCCCAGGGCTTCGCTATCGCTGATACATCACATGCTGTCATCATCATGCCGCATAGCACTGAAAACAGTAGATGACTTTAGGTAGATGTTTTGATTATAATTTGATTTACCATTCTTTTTACGTATTTTACGTTTGCATTACAATTTTGGCCTTCAAAGATTCAATTATTTGAAAAACTCATAGAAGTTCACTTTTTAAATAAAATAATATCTTAGTCTTGGTAGATCAGATGTAACTTAAAGTTAAGTATTCATCATCGCCATCATATTCAGCCTACATCAATACACTGTTGAGTATAGGCCCTTTTTTATTGCGTCAACTTGTAAAACTTGACGCAATAAAAAAGGGGTCTATACTCCTGCACTATCCGCATCCAGTGCGATCCCGCAAATATGACAATATTGTCACCATCGGGCCGGTTGTCTGCCCACTGAGATTATCGCTCCTCTTGGCCATCATTCCGTGACGATATCAGTCATGAATATAAACGATAACAATAAGTGTAAACTATATATTAAAGTGTAGTAAAAATTATTTACATTCTTTCTTTTCTTCACTTTGCCAATCGAATTCGCCGTTGTCCACAAGTTCCAAGAATTTCGACTTTTTCTTGAAATACATCGCGAGGTCGGTCGATAGGATCGCTGTTTCCACCACTCTCATCACGTCTTTGTAGTCACTGGGTGAGAGTGCCTGAAATATTAAAAATATTGCATTGGCATAAAGGTGTATTTTGCAATTGTAATTGTAAACACTTTATTGTACCAAAAAAACAAAAGATAAATGTTTACAATTATGTAAAATGTTAGTACACAAAGGAGTGTATCCCGTAAGGGGATTTCTTCCAATTAACCTTTGAAAATAATGTAATTATTGTAGTAAAATAAAAATGTTAGCCAAACTTGTATAGTTAATAAGTAACTCGTATTACTTGACGCAGAACCAAAGCTAAAAGTGCGCTGTGTGATTGTAATATTACATTTTAGGAAAAATATATCTATGCAAATATTTGCAATAATTGTTGACAAAAATTGCAAATTTGCAATTTATTAACTAGAACATACCACAATTAAGATTATGACTTAGATTGAATGAAACAAAAGTTACGCATTATAGTTCATGTACTTTTATCGATAAAAACTTACCTGGAAAATATTATTCCCCTCACTATTCAAAATCATAACACACTGATCGAAATGGTGATGCTCCATAGTAGATGTAGAGTACAAAATTGCTAATGGACTTTCAGTTTTAGTCTGAAACGCGTTGTTAGTGCCTCTATGATCCAGATCATGGCATAGGCATGCTACAAGGAGACCTAAAATTTCAAGATCTACCATGAAGCGTTCCATTTTGCCTGTCTTGAGCATTGCGAACATGGTTTGAGCGACGTTGAGGGCGTGTCGCCAGTTGTGGTATTTAACGGGACGGTAGTTCTTTTTGACGCTTAGTGTCCACCGGCAAAGTACCTATAACAATAAAAAAATATATATAAAATAAGCGAACTGCTTATAACACTTAAATTAAAATTTAATAACCCCAGATGCAAAACAGTGTATATAACATTATACGAGTAATATATTATAATTTATAATAATCACAAGTGGTAGTGATCTCGTTGTACAATTAGCAATCAGTTGTTAAAGTTCGATAATAAGCATAATAAGCATGCCAGAGACATTGGATTGTTATTTTTTACTTATTTTATACTAACCTTACCAACGCGTTCCGTTTGTAATTTTTTTATAGATACTGTACTACTGCCACGGATATTCCGGTCAGGTTATATAGCGACTTAAGGTTTAAATTCAACTCTATTCCGCTTGCCATAAGATCGGTCTAAAGTCCAAAGTGTCTGATGTGCTCTTGACTGAACTCATTACTTACATCGTATGGAATGTGGAATTGCTCGACGAGGTTGCACTGGAGGAACATTCGCAGCGTTGCTCTGCACGTATCTTCGTCGGATAGATCGAAATCTGGAATATAAGTTAATCATAATATAAGTAGGTCTTCGTAATCGGGTAGCAGTCCAATACACCAGGCCAGGAGTAAAGATTCATCCAGTAATTAAATAATTAATGTATTGCATGAGAAATTAACTTTCAATCTTAAAGGAATCAAATATTTGTATTACTACATCGAGCTCTATCGACTACTTTCGGATTTGTAGAGCGCCGTTTCCATCGCATGAAACTTTCGTAGAAGAAAGTATGTGATAAGAAAAACTGTAGGGAAGTTGATATAGGTACGACTGCCAAATTAGCGACAAAATGTCACATAGATATGTGTGACAGAGACAATCGTCTGTTTTAATAGTGTGTTTACACTGGGTCGATCGTTGCCTTCGCAAAACTTCAACTTGCCGAAGGAGACAGGCTGCCGCCTCTTCGGCAAGCGAATTTGACTGACGAAAGTAGCGCAGTCGATGTGCTGTTTACAAGTCAACAGCCGCCTTCGCCGAAATCACCAAATCGTTGTAAGATTAGATAGAAGTTAGAGACAAAAATCGTTCAAAACTTTCGAAACAAACTGATCAGGTAGGTTAGGAGTTTTTTATAATCCCAAGTGATCCTGATGATAAGTGACACGCCTGTCCATAACAGTAGCAGTGCCACACAGGGCTTCTAAACGCAAAGATTGGAGGGGCACCACTGTGCCCGTCACCCTGACAAGTCCCATATGCCTGTAATTTCACCAGCACCCCTAGCCTTCAAAACTGGAACGCAGTAATGCTCAAATTACTGCTTGGCGGCAGACAGTTAAGGTGGCAGTATTGCCCTGGACGAACTCTTTTACAAGGAGCTCTACTGCTACTAGAAAGTAATCCGTCAACCGTTGCTTGCAGAACGCGAACGATGCGACAATGACAAGCTACTAGATGACTCGGTCGACAACTTAGGCAGCAAACTACGTTCGTAAATGACTCAGTGTTTACACTAAATAGACTGTCTCCTTAGCCGAAGGGAACCTGTCGACCTAATGTAAACATGCCGTAAACCTCAGATGTGTAATATATACAGCCTGGTCTATACATATTATACTTATAGGCTGTTAACGCAAATCTAACTTCTTTACTAGATTTGATTGATATTATATATTGTGCTGTTAATATACAGCGTATATAAGCGTGGTATCAACTTACCATGAAACTGAAAGCTGTATAGATTGTAGGTCTCGGCCGATGGGATGACGTCGTTTACCAATTTGTAGGTGTCGTCAGTTGACGCTGTCGCGTGGTATGACAGACATTCCAATGCCACCTGAGTGTTATCGTATTATTTTAGATTCAGACTTAGAGATCCTAACGACATATTACTATTTGGAGGTAGATGATTTTAAGTTTAACTATTATTTTCATAAATAAATCAATTTTCCTACGTTCAGTTGCAATTAACTTTTTTTACTATAATCAATAAGTACATTATTGTGGCTGTTATTGTAAGAATTGTATTTTTTAAGAACTGCTTTTTTTTATCGAGTTCTTAGGTTTTCGCGATTGTGTCACATAGGATATAAACTATTTTTCTGGATTTAAATCACGTATATTTGTTTTTTCAAACAAACCAACGTTTCGGGCCCTTTACAAGTAGGTCCCATGGTCACGGTTGACTCAGATGGTACGGATAACTGGTTGATGACTGTACCACCTCAGTCAACTGTGACCATGGGAACTGTAAAGCGCTCGAAACGTTGCGTTGGTTTGTTTTAAAAAACTAATATACGCGATTTAAATCCGAAAAATATGTAGTTTCATTTCCTATACTTTTATTTTAATTTTTTTTATAGTGTCAGACAACCGCAGCAGTTACATGGTCTCAAACTAGAAAATTTCTTGTGCTTTGAGTATCAGAGCCACGAAATCAACTCTGTTGAACAGAAAAGTTCATTTCCCAAATTGACCTTATCAGGAATCGAACCTGAGAACGCCACATCTAGTACCTCACAGTGTTAACCTCTGATTTAATAAGTCTCTATAGTCCATTTGTTTAGATACTTAACTAAATGTAAACAATCTTGAGATGTCTATTTAATTAAATATATATTTATAAAATGATTTTTACTTACCTTCAAATACAAAATACGAATCTTCTTATGAAATCTTCGTATGAAACTGCATGCCTATTTTTATACCTATTGATTTGTAAAGCATATGTTTCAATAAAAAGATGTATCAAGATTGTTTTCATTTAGTTAAGTACCTAAACAAATGGACTATGGTCTTCTTTTTTTTACTCTTTGAGTGTCACTGTTAAGTAGTCAAAACAGATAACCTCATAAAACTTAAACTACAGGAAAATCGACCAAAATTAAACTTACCTTTTGTTTAGCCATAAGTTTGCAAGCGTTTTCGTACATCTGAGTGTTGTGGATTCCGAGACCGCAGAAGATCGCGAAAGCTTCAAATATCGAGATGTCTCCATCGGTGAATTGACAACCGTTGTCCTAAAAACACAAAAATTAGTATTATAATACTAAATAATTGAATATCACAATTTTTCGCTACCATTATATTTAATTATTTTGTGGATTTTTGTAAAGCCTTTTAGGGAAACCCTGTATCGCGGGTGCCATAGGCACACATATTAGACAATCACAAATTACATCTAAACTCACGAGAGAAACATAATTATGCCATAGAAATATTTCTCTGGTCGAGAGTTGTATGGGTATTGGACAAGCATACTTAAATATCTGTCTCAATTACTACAGCGTTTGTTGAGTGATGGCTTTACCCATTTGGACAAATGTAATGTTCCTAGAAAACCACATCAATTATTCATCGCTTGGTCTCAAACTAGTTGGTTTTTAATAATAATAGTAATAATAATTTATGTAATAAACAAAGACTTGTGCGAAGTTGTGCGCCTGGCGGTAAGCGGCATGCTCGTACGTAACAGTTGCAGTGCTACAGAGCTTCAAATCACTGTGATTTTCTTCACATTAACCGATTTTGAGTGTCATGATAATTTGTAGAATAAGTCATGGAATACATTTTTAACTGAATATTTCGACAATGTATGAATGCGAGTCAAATTGTTTACCCTGTTATATGTATAATTTACAGCTTAGAGCATTATATTGTTCTTTAGCCCATGTAGTGCGACATTTTAATACAATATGCGAGGTTTCCCTGTAATATGCATACCACAGCAGCGGAAGGCACTTCCCAGAACATCGACACCAGAACCAATTTAGAAAAGTTCGTTTCCCAATTTGATCTTACCGAGTATATTGCAGTATATATTATATACCGAGTATACAGTAGTAATCTCTTTATCCAGGTCACTGAGCTCGTAAAAATGTTGCTTGACACCGATTTGACACCTTATAAAACTTCAATATATGGTTCATGTTAAACAACATACCTTATTTATCAACTGTGCAACACCAATAACGTCCTTATTGGCATTGACGATAGGCATGCACAGCATGGTTCTAATATTAACCGCGTCGTCGACTGTTGCATCGGCTACAACCATGTTGTTCTCCCGTCGCCACTCGTCTACGTCACAGATATTTAGCGCTTTGTTTGATTGTGCGACCTTGAATAAGAAGTAAGTAACAATTATTGTCCACACATATTTAGAAGGACATCATAATATAATGAAAAACTAGTGTAGAGTTTCCAAATTGCACTGTAGTCTGCACCGCTCACGGTCACACATTCTCTCCCCCCTCTCTCTCTCTCTCTCTCTCCCTCTCACTCTCTCTCCCTCGTACGGTCTTTATAACTGTGTTAATTGCACCGTCTTTCATTATAAAGACACAACAGTTTGGTGACGACAATGGGATTCGAACCTACGCGTGTGTGAGATAAAATTAACAAATTACAATGCCTAAAAATAACATTCATTGATGACTAAAATGTTATTTTCATAATTAAAGTACAAAAACGACCTATCATGTGGTTGAATTTCAAGTTGTGGGTAAATGTTTTATCATTATTTCCATTCCTTTTATACGTATGTCTAAGGTTTGGCTTAAGTCATGATGTTTAAAAATGTTACTTAAATCTATTGATATTTATATTGATATATACACGAAATCATATCGTTACTGTTTTCAATGGAAATAAAATTATGTTATGAAACCAGTGGCGCCACCAGTGGCGACACACTGCAAAGCAATCTCGTTTTCTGATTGGTTAAACCAACCAAGGGTATGGTATTTGTTCTGAAGAAAAGGACTTGCTAGTGGCATTTTAAATCAATTATTAACTTCGGTTGCTGAGCAGTGACTAAGTTTAGTAAAAATCCCATGTCTCTTTTATTCCTATTGAAATTTCTTTGTTCATATTGTGTATCTCTACAAATGTTGAATAAACTGTTGCTTTGCCTTATGTTGTATGGTATATTCTAATGTGAATATTATACTTGTTTTAGAGCGTTAATGCTGATAGATGTTGACTTCCTGGGCATATATGCTTAATAAATACGATTTGTCTTGTGTTTTGTTCGTTTGTATTTACAATAGTCCACCTATATGTATCATCTGTAGATAAATACATATTTTGTTTGCAATCAGGTTTACGTAGTTTAGGTTTAGGAATCGATAAAGTTGATAAATTAAATTTATTTAAACTATATCTCATTATGTTTTAGATGTTTTTCAATTGCAGTTAAATACTAGATGTATATGTATAATATTTAAAGCTTAGAATTTAAAGGAGAAATTCCTTCGCTAACGCGTGCAAAGCATTATAATTTTCAATTAATTTTGGGGTTCACGAAAGAAGCTTCTACCACATCGTTGTTATTATTTTTCCTGTAAATCTACATAACGCCGATTGGCAAATGGTTCCGCCACGGGGGCAAGCATTATAGTGTATATGATCGATGCTATAACAATGGTTGAATTTTTTGGATGAATTTCAATGTGAACCGAGGCAAAGATTTAGTAAGAGATCATATAATAACGCTCGATAAATCAACCCGAAGATTCTTTATTGGCCTTGTTAGTGAAAGTCAAACAATCATTTATTCCATAGGTAAAATAAATTTACACTTGAAACACTAATTTTTACTGGAGAACCCAAAGAAATCACTCCATTTATGTCTACTTGTCTACACCGTAATATTCCAGCTTCCTAACAAGAGTAACATGGTCAACGCAATCAAATGCTTTTGAAAGGTCACAGAAAACACCAACAGCTTTCTGGAACCTTTCCCAAGCATCAAAGATGTGTTTTAATAACGCTGCCCCCGTATCGCTAGTCGATCTACCACTAGTTAGCCCGTATTATTCACTATGAAAAATATGATTCCAATCGAAATAGGACGGTAATTGATCTTCGTCACAGTCTCTTCAATAAAGGGTTATGTTTTGTATAAGCGTCACTTTTAATTCCTTCTTTGTATAATGAATATTAATAAGTAGGCTTTGACAGTTCTTTTAAATTTTTAACCGTTTTAAAAAAAGGGGAAGTTCTCAATTCGGTTGTAATTCTTTTTTGTATGTATGTTACGTTATTACTCTTGTCAACCTATTTTGATGATTTTTTTTGTTGGAAAAAGAGTATCTCAGTATTGGTTCCATTTAAATTTAAAGCAAATATTCCACACCTAAGGGCAGCAAACTAGGGGATGAATCCGGTTTCGCGAACGTTCCGGTAAACGATTTTAATAAAACTTGGTAAACAGATGTAATTCCACGAACTTTTGAGGTCTTTTTTTATAAAAAAGTTATAGACTTGCCAAAAAAGAAATTTGACATTATTCTTACTTACCGCAAGAGCAATACAAGCCATCGTAGACTTAGTATCATGCGTAGGAGTGAGCGTCTTGCGCGACTGCTTGGCGCCGAGCTCGAAGAGCGTGTGGAAGCGCGTGGGCGCAGGCGGTGGTAGAGCTGGGATAGAAGGCCCTCCCGAGCCAGGACGTTGTCCGATGCGCTCTAGGTGACTCTGAAAAGTTTATTTTTATATAAAATGTATAATGGAGTCACAAACTAGAATGTTACGTCAAAATGAGATCGACGACGGACCTATTTACCCTACAAACCGGGTGACATCTGTCCATACATAATAATTTATAAATCTTAATGCTTAACTAAATTATCATATTAATACGATATTTTATTTCTAGGATCCAGACGTACGACGCAACAGTGACGTCACACTCGCTGTGAAACCAATTTTGTAAGAAAATCACGAATTTAATACGTGGACACACACATAAATAAATATAAATTACATCCAAGCTTACGAGAGATATAAATGTAGGTCGTATAAATATTTCTCCTGGGGAATCGAACACGGGACCCCTGCGTGGCAGTCCAACTTGGTCACCGTTCGGCCACAGAGGCAGTTAAATTTACCTAACTGATATGTCCGACGCATCATCAACTCATTCATAAGACCAACTACTGGGCAAGGGTCTCCATGCAGGCGAGGGTTTAGGCCCTAATCTGCTTGGCTGGCCTAATGCGGGTTCCGGACTTCACACGTTTTCCGAAGGTTACCTTCGGAAAACGTGTGAAGGGAACCTTCTTCACCGTTGAAATTAAATTTCGTACGTATATTAAGAGATAATCAGAGGTGCGGGCCCGGATTCGAATCCACGTCCTTTGCTTGAGAGGTAGTAGGTTAAACCAATAAGCTATCATGACTTCTTCTAGACAATAGTGACATATAATAACACATTGTAATACGCAACAGTGACGTCTCATTCGCTGTAAAACCATTTTGTATGAAAATCACGAAGTTACTTAAATGTGCGCCGCGTCATTGGCAAATAAGGATACAGTTATCGGAGTGATGTCAAGGAAAATTTGAAACATCTGCGAAAATTCTTAGTAAGTGAAACTCACAGATTCGCAATGATCAGTATCAAGAATGAAGACAGCACATCGTTCACATTTCAGCAGCTCTCTTGCTTCGGTCATGATCTTCGTCACCAAACATTCCAAGTTGTTTTGCTCCTCGAATATACTCCTTGCGAGAGCCAACAGTATCTGGTTCCTTTTGTACTCGAGTACGGACGATTCGAAGAGCTGAGCATTTTGGATGCCGATGCCGCAGAACGTGAGGTACCGTTTAAATACTTCCACATCTCTTGTGGAGAATTCTCTCGATCCTGAAATTTGTACAATGAAATAAATTAAGAAGATCAACTACGGTGTTTACGCAAGAAGCTGTAGTTGTAGCTTTATATATATATATTATGATCACACAAGTTTTGTTACATAATTATAATCGTCACTATTTTTCTTCTTTGTGTGTGTTGAAATCTACAGATGCGGATATAGGTTTGGATGAGTGAATTTTTGTTTTACAGAATGTGTATGTATTATAGGATTTAGTAATCATTGAATTATCATTAATTTAAGAAAATTACAATACTTTTACATAATTTGATTACAAAAGCGATGAAAAATAGGCATAGAAATATTACGACACTTATTTTAATAACTAAAGCTTTTAAGATTCAGATGCAGACTTCTGCGGCATCCCTAGTTGGTACACATGTTCCTAACGTGTCTTGGCAAGGGTTGGCATATTTAAAGCTTACTTTACGTGTGATTATGTATGAAAGCTTACTTTAAAATGTGATTATGTACATGGGTGAAAATAGATAAATATATTTCAATGTATCTATATATATCAGGCATGTAGATACTCATTTCTTATGTACTTTTCGTGCGTACTCAACATTTTGAACATGAATATTTGAAAGATCTTTTTTTTATAATACCAAGTGACGGGACGAACAAGATGTGCGCCTGATGGTAAGCAAGCCCCAACGCTCTAAGAAATAAGTTGACAAGTCCCACGTGCGTGTAATTTCACCAGAACCCATACCCTTCAAAACCGGAAAGAAGTAATGCTCACACTACCGCTTGCTACTACCTGGACGAACTGTTTCACCTGGAGCTCTACTGCTACTATGATGTAGGATAATGACTTTAATTTTAAAGATTGTAAAACACCGATGAGTAATCGTTGATTTTGTTGATGATTTATGCGTCGCCAACAAAGTTGACGTCGTATATTATAGTGAATCGGCATGCAGGGTGTAGTCTTGTACAAGACTACTACCTTGTACGCGCAGTCTGTGCGATACCGTAAGGTGAGCGAAGGTCATTAATTTCACATGGCCACTGGTGTTTACCGTCAGTCTTGTTGATAATCTGCGCGACACCGACGACGTCACCTTCATAATTGCAAATCGGCATACACAGGATAAGCTCTGTCTTGTAACCTGTTCGTGCGTCGATCTCGCTGTTGAACCTGTAAAAAAATATTTTTTTTTATAACCGGGGCGATCATAAGAAGTGTACACATTAAGACTAATTGGCAAGTGTGCCTAGACTTTGATACCAAGTGACAGGATGAATAAGTCAAGTGCCTGCCTAGCGACACGTCTATCCATAACAGTGAAAGTGTTACTCAGAGGTTTAAATCCCAAAGGTCTGAGGGACACTGCCACCGCGCCCGTCACCCTGAGATGTAAGTTGACAAGTCCCATGTGACTGTAATTCGACGAAAAGGCGACCTCCGAAGTCGAGTGACTCGCACATCGGTTTTCATGGCGTCGCCAACTCTGGGATCCCGGGTTCGATTCCCAGCCGAGTCAATGTAGAAAATTAATTTTTCTATATTATTTCGAGTCTGGGCGTTTGTTGTAACGTTGTTTCCGATTTCTAAAGCACAATTGTTTTAGTTACCTACTTTGGGATCAGAGTAACGTTTGTCTAATATTTATTTATTTCATTTCTCCAGCACTTTTACCTTTCAAAACCAGAACGCAGTAATGCTCACATTATTACTTGGTGGCAGTACTTCCCTGGATGAACTCTTTCACAAGTAGCGCTACTGCTACTACAAGTGATAGAGTTGAATTTAAACGTAAAGCGTAAAGAAATACGTGCCGTTGTCAGTAGAATTGAGCTTCCAATATAGGCAGTATGTAGCGTAAAATCTAGATACTTTATTTTGTCTAGACTATATTTTTAACTAAATTAGTCACGCCTAGATTAAAATTGTGAATGTGGGTTAAAAGGTGAAAACATTTTACAATCCGACGAGAATACCTGTGAACCTGTTAAAAAATTATACTCTGACAACGTTGGTTTGATAAGGGTAAAAATATATCAGATGAATATTTAAAAAAAGAACCAAAAAATCTCTGAAATGACGTTTTTGTTGTTGTGTTACGGCAGCAAATCGGAAGTGGGCGGGGTAAGGTTAGACGAAGCGGGAGGGGAGTTAAGGGCCACAGATTTCAAACGGGTTATAACCATCATAATCAATAATATATAGATTGTCATTGTAGGGCGAAATCTAAACCAAATCGCAAACTTACATAGTGTAATAAGGCCACATCTGCAGAACAAGTTTTTTGGGAAAAGGTTTGAAGATTCTACGAAAGAAATTGGTCAATAACTTTTTATGCCACTTCATATCGCATTAATGACATACATTATAATGCTTGCCATTGTGGTCAAAGGATTCGCCAATTGGCGTAAGGTACTTGCCGATTATTACCCAGCGTGCGCCAGGCGTACAGGAAAGGAATGGTATAGACGTCAGTGCATCAAGCTACACATTGACCGATCTTAGATATTAAACAAAAAACCCTTTACCGCCCTAGGGTGTATGATCAAAATACCGCCTAGTTTATCATATAAGTATGACTTAAAAACTGTTACGGCCATATGGGGTGCAAATATTATTGTATTATAATATTATGGAAGAATGGCATAAGTGGAGTTATGTCAAATATGTTTATTGCTCCATTAGATACAGAAAAATATAACAGACAGCCTCTCCAATTTGATTGATTTGCATTTTTTTGTTTAATTATTTTTTTGTTTATAGTTTAATCATATATCCACCTGTATAATTAGTACTTTTTACCTGAATACGGGATTCTCCTAGTTTAGGTATATGTGTTATGTTTTACATTGATTCGCATAGTTAGTCTTTAGTTATTCCTTTGTACGATAAGTTATTCAATAAACAATTTTATTTTTTATTTATTTTAATTCTTGTAACTCTATCTATAATATTAGTAGATAGATTTACAGGAATTGGACAGGATGTGAGTTCTGTATCTCTTCTTCTTCATGTGCCATCTTCTCTCTTGAAGGTCGGCGATCATGATGACAATCTGAACTTTGAATACTATTGAATCACTGGCGCAAATTTCTAAGCCAGGCTATTCTCCTTCTTCCTACACCTCCCTTTCCTTGTACTTTCTGTATCTAATGAAGCAATAATCGTACCATTTTGACGTAACTCCACTTATGCTATTCTTCCATGAGGGGTGCGATATTGTAGTATCCAGCGACCACAGACCACATCCAGCGACTAACTAAGCGAGAAATTGATATTTGTCAAATAACACATTAGAATGTACTGTCAGCTTCGAAGCTTGGACTTTAGAAAATACATATGATTTATTTCATGCAATTTCTAATATGTTGTCTGCATTTCGTGTGAAATAAGCGCTTTTGACGTATGATAACGTGTGGCTTTATTAAACTAAAATTACGAACATTTATTCATCTACTTATTTATTTACATTACACGTCAAATCCATTGAACTATAAGTTATATGCAAATTTATACGAGATTTCCTAAGGTAATGTAATGCATAGGTTGTGTAATATTGGACTGTTGCCTCGGAAGTGTTAGAGGCGGTGAATAAGCAAGTGGATTTCTCCAATTCCAATTTCACTGCCCCATTTCTAGTTGCGTTCTGGCTAGGTGCCTACTTTATCAAATGGTATTGGAATTCGATACGGTACTTGAATATATACAGGGTGTCTCACAGTTATGCGACTTAAAGAATTTTAACCGACTTAAAAAAAAGGAGGAGGTTCTCAATGCGACTGTACCTATTTTTATTTGTGTGTATGTAACGCATAACTCCGGCTTGTGAACCGATTTTGATGATTATTTTTTTGTTGGAAAGAGGGTACCTCGGTACTGGTCCCGTTTACATTTGCAGAAAATATTCCACCTCTGAGGGTGGCAAACTACGGGGTGAATGACTTTTGAGGTCGGTATTTTTAGTATTCTGTACAGAGATCATAAATATTGTAGATAGTGTAATGTAGCGAATGGTAGCAGTCGCAAAAAAATATTTAAGCATATTTTATTATAGCCCTTTCAGCACTTTTTTTAAATATATTATAATACCAAGTAACGGAACGGAATACGTCGTGCGCCTGGTGGTACGCGACACACTATCTGGCACTGCCACCGCGCCCGTCACCCTGAAGCATAAGTTGGTAAGTCTCATGTACGCGTAATTTAACCAGCGCCTTTACTCTTCAAACGGGAATGCAGTAACGTACTGCTTGGCGGCAGAAATAGATAAGGTGGCAGTACTTCCCTGGACGAACTCCACTGCTACTAAACGTGCCTAACGTTTAACATAATACATAACGTTTAACGTTCGATTTTTACTTGTTTTTCGCTTTTTTCTGTGTTTCGTTCGTACATTGACTTTCTTGATTGTAACAAACTGCAAGTACACATCAGTACAGGTTTTTTTACCCACATTTGGTCGGCTCAATTCCCAAGAGAGGCAAGTAACTTTTTAAAACTCTTTGACTGCAGCATTATTTACTTTTAAAAATGAAATAATGTCTCCATGAAGCAAAATCCATCTAATGTTTAAAGTACATTCCCTACTAGCTGTGGGACATCCCGTATTTGTTATACAGAGTGTTCAATCGTTTTATTAACTGTAGACAAAATTTCAATTTTGTCGTTTATATCAGTAAGATACAAAATTATCCTATGCTTTCAGTTACCTGGGATCAGCATAAGCGTTCCTGATGTTAATATGGGTCTTGGTTTGCGCTGCCAGGCCTGCCACGCCGACACCGAAAGGTATCCTAATTTCCTGCGTGCGCGCTACTTGCAGGGCGTCGTTTAGTTCTGAAAAAATGATGATTATGTTATCAGCAAATTTGACAATTAGTCTAAAAACCGTGGTATTTAATGCAGAACACTAAAAGTAAGAGAGTCTAACAATTTTTGGAAAAAAACTGGAGGAACAATGTCAATTAGCCCTTTCCGTAAAGTATATTTTTATGACTATATGAATCCAGTGAAATAAAAATAACTGTGTGTGTGTGACGTTAATATTCGAACTGAAAAATCCTCATCTTGCGGATGAGGCATTTTTTATAAATTAACTATCCGCATCTCCGCCGAGCATTAACCTGCGTACGCAAGTGTTTACATGGTGGCGTTATTGGTGGTCACGAGCTATCGAAGGTATTTTTTTTTCTTATAGCGTCACCACTGCCTATAAAAAAACATTCTGTATGTCCAATTCACTGTCTTACAAAAATGTGGCTGGCACAATCATAGACTATACCTTGTTCTATTACAAGAAGAAAGTAACTAACTTGCCAGGATGTTCTTAATAAAGACAAATGTTTACCGGTTTCGATGTTTATTTTTAGAAGGTCCTATTGAAATACGCCAGGTAAAAACATTTTTGAGTATTCCTGAAGTAAACTGAAGGGACAAAAGGGAAGTTTAGTTCGTAACTGTTATTTGAGTTGAGTCGATAAACGATGGGAGTTAGGAAAGATTAATAACACGTACAATTTTAATACTGGTTCAGATTTGTGAAATTTGGATATAAAACATCGGGTAACACCGGTATCGTGTTATTTTTCCGACGGTTTAAATTTCTATTGAAATGTAAGAGTGGGGAACACACTAATCGGGTGTTCGGGCCCGTTTTGAAGATACGTGTTTTAGACTAGATTTTACTTCAGTGTGACTAGCGAATAATAATTTTGATGATAAATAAAGTTAAACGCTTAAACTAACTAAAGTTGCTTTCATTAAAATTTTATGACAGAAAGGCGTTAACAATAGCAATTTTAAATAGAAAACTACCGTAAGATGTATTAACTGAACTAAAGAATAAGTCACATATTTAAGACGAATTTTTCCCTCAACAAGCATCAAACCAGTCCGTGGTCCTTAATCGTGAGATTCCGCGGCTGTGACTCGACTGAAACAGCGTGCCAAGTCCTGACAGCTCGGTAATTTCTCTCATTCCCATTAGTTCTATTGAGTATTTGTATTATAATAGAACTACTGGGACTTTTTGTCCTTTTTGTCCCAGTGTTCTAATCAGTACGGGTGCGAGCGCAGGCGGCAGGCGGCGGTGAACAACTACCCTCGTTTCCTTCATTCTTATTAAAAATGTCACTTTCTAAAGTTGTGGATGACCACATTAACCACTGACATAGTGGAAAACGGTGTTAGGTACTACGTTATTGCAATCCTGCGTATGACTTTAATAAAAATGAAGCAAACGAGGGTGGTTGCTCACAGCCGCTTGCGCCTGCAGCCGTATTGAGTGACCGTGCTGTCAGGGCTTTGGCGTGCAATATCCGTCGAGTCGCCGCCGCGGAATCTCATGATTAAGGACCACAGACTAGTTCGAAACATGTCGAGCAAAAATTCAATTTAAGTACGTGAGTTATCCATTAGTCTAGTTAACAATAATGTATGTTTATTCGATTTTTCTGGAACTGCCGGAAACAGGTGATTGGCTTTTCATAATCCAGCAAAACCATCAAATTCAACAAATGGGATTGCGAAGAGGCAAGATCACGAGTTTGAAGAGCAGCGTAAAACTGAACTCGATCACTTTCATTCAAAATCGAAAATCCCTACAATATACTAGCCCACTAAATCTGAATAATGAAACCAAACGCTCACTACGAGGAAAAAGGAACCTAAGCACGCGCTCAGAGAGGTGAAAATAGCGTTGCCCGTCGTGTGCAGTCGTGCGGAACTAAATGCTGGGGACAACCCCAGTACAAGCCTTGTACAAACAAGGATTGTAATGTAAATGAAAGACTTGTCTGAGCGCTTGCATTGTCGGCGATATACTCAGCGGTGGGCACTAATCGCGTAACTTCGACCAAGTGACGAAGCCCTGTCATTAGTCATCTGGTCATCTTTGAGCGCACCAGCGCCACCAACTAGGAGTCCAAATGGTCGCCATGAACATGGTCGGATAGATAGAAAAATTTAATTGAGGATAGAATTGGCTATAGACAATAATAACATGTTTTATGCCTATTTTTATTAATGGTTATAATAAAGCGGTCCTTTGTCTATGAACGAATCGATAAATAAATGTGCCAGGAATTAATCAATGACTTGGCTACAAAATATAAAATACCTTGTACTATGAATGTCAGAGTAAAGTTTTTTTTGCACTACCCGTAATTCTTTGACCATAACATATTTAGTTGAAATGAAGTTTCGTATATTGGTGTAACAGGAAATCGAACGTTCCTGATTAGAGAGCTCAGACTGCTACCCTCTTAAGGGCTGCATCCTTTTTTTAAATTAATAGTTGTATTTTTTACACTTTTCTGTTTTTCTTTGCTACTACTATTCAGCCTATTCAAAGTTGCTTTAACGCCCCAAAACTTTTAACATGGTGTTTGAATAAAAAATAAATAAACTTTTGTTGAAAGTTTTCTTACAATTTCTATTGAATTTTTTTTATATAAAACTAGACCTTATGGAAGCATAACATGTTAAGTTTGTTCCTTGTTCTGCCACTTGGTGGCGCTCTTTTTTTCTAATGTCATCTGCCGTAAGATGGGTTAGAATAAGATTCTAAATTTTCCAGAACTTCCCAGGAGCTTTGGAAGCATTTAGAATTGTAAATATTTATAATTTTGAAATTTATAGTTTTGGTAATATGTTTCTTTTAGTTCAGTTACAAGGTTTATTTTTTCGTTTGGAAACACTTTTTAATTAAATACTAACACTTAAATAGTTTTTCCTTACGTAATTTTTTATGTTTTTATTTTATTAAAAGTTATTAGAATTAATAGCTTTGTTGCTAAAACCAATAAATTAAAAATTAAAACATCCGCAGTTTACTAGAGTGATTAATTATTTCTATAATTTGTGTTTACTATTACAAATCCAAGTACATTTTTCACAGATTGACCTAGATCAGTTGTTCCAGTAGTATTGTGTGAATTTTGGTACAAAGTTAAAGCTAAGAGGAATCTTGCAAGGCAAGAGTGAATAGGCACTATTTCATTATTTAGGTGTGCATGGCCCATCGTCAACTTCATCGTCACTTTCCATCAGGTGAGATGGAAGTCAAATGCGCTATTAGTTTTTAACCGACTTCAAAATCAGAGGAGGTCCTCAATTCGACTGCTTGTTTTTTTTAATATCTATGTTACGCGATAACTCATCAGGCATTTGTGAACGCATTTTAATGATTCTTTTTTGTCGGAAAGAGGGCACTTCAGTAGTGGTCCCATTTAAATTTGAAGAAAATATTCCACCTCCAAGGGTGGCAAACTAGAGGAAGAATGGCTTTTGAGGTTGGTTTTTTTAGTACTCTGTACAGATTAAATTTAAAAAAAAAACATGATGAGAGTCCATGTATATTGAAAATTAATCCGCACTTATATTATACAGCATTGTACAATCAACAGTACGGAAACTTGCAAACCGTCATTACCATATGGCATAATATTTAGCCCCAAAAGAAAAATTGTGCTTCTTTTTTGAGTTCCTGTTTTTAATCAGACGAAATCCACTGGCGTTACAACACTATACATATACAGGGCTCGTATCGAAATGTGTAGACTGAAACTCTCAATTACTTGTTGTTTACTGTCCCAATAGTGTCCCAATGTAATACGCTTAGTTACCTACCAACGAATCGGGGTCGTCTTAGTGTTACGTGTACCACTGGCGTTCTGCCAGTCCTGTGACGTCATTGATAAAAACTAATAATTTATCACGCACTTTGAAAGTTTTATATTTTAATGCGCCTTCCACTAAGTAAACCCCTAGATTTTCGCAAAAAGCCGCAATGGGTATTCCGTTACATTTCATGCTGATCTCTATTTATTGCCCAGACGTGTCGATGAGTTCTTTGAAGGTCAGAAAACCTATGACGATGAATATTTTAGCAAAATAACTAAAGTCTTTTCGATTTTACTAATTTATGTTTACTTTGTTGACAACATTAAATAAGGACTTTATGGAGTATCCAGCGCTATTAAGCTCAGTGTATTATATCTTTACATCATCGTCAACCCATTTGTAAGTCCCATTGCTGTGCATGGCTCTCCTCTCAGGCGTAGGTTTAGGCATATGGGTAAAAATTTTATACGTTTTCCGAGGATTGTGAACCTTCTTCGACGTTCAAGTTTCATCAAGATATTTCCTTCAAAGTAAAGCTCATGGTAAATTTCAAATTAAAGGATCCCTTCAATTTTGGGCCCAATTGTGTACCTCGGTACAACTGATGTCAAAAAAATTCTTAAATTATATAGGAAAGTATCCATTAACTGAAATCTTTTTAACTTTAATAGAAATTGCTGAAAAATTTAGCCGACTTTATTAGATAGTAGTCTTAATAATACAGTAATGGACTCGTAATTAATCAATTACAAAAAGTAGTTGATATTATTTAAAACCATTACACCTATTTTTTGAATAATCCCGCTAGCTAAATACATACCATTTGAAACATAGGCATTGCCATGTATAATTATTGTGTTGCCAGTCATTTGTATGTTCGAATGATCATTTTGAGTGGTTAAGTGATTAATAATTTCCATTTAATTTTTTAAGGAATTCTCCGTAATTTTTTATTCAAAAATATGTGATAGTTCTTGAGGTACATCTTTGGGCACGTAAATTCCGAGAAACTCAGAGGTGTGAACTCAGATTCGAACCCTCGGCTTGTGCTTGAGAGGCCGTAGGCCTAAGCATTAGGCTATCACGGTTTCATCCTTACAATTTTGTAAGGATAAAACCGGCAACATTTGGCAACAATGGCAACATTTGGTCTTTACAAACGTTTGTTTCGAATACGTAATTGGATTAAGTTTATCGAGATCGTTCCATTCCCC